CTCTTGGGTCGGAGGTGTTTCCCCACCACCTATGTGTTAGGACAAAAAGCCGATATTCGGGTCTAATAACCGGGTTGGTGAACCATTGGTCGTTCACCTAAGGGAGTTGGCTAAAAACCCTGATTCAAAACCAACCAAGCAGAGGCGTACGAAACCCCATATACACCTTCCTGATTGTGGCAGTGGTCACCTGACCAATTGGACACCTTGGACGTTTGACCCCGTCCAAAGGGCAAATGATTCCATCAACTGGACACCGGCCCTCAATGAACCGCGGACTCTAAGCTCTGTCCTGTTGTCTTGCGGGTCTGGCTTTCTAGTCTAAGGCTTCGGGTGAGCACCCAGATGTTATCACTTTTCCTCGGCTAGGGCAACCGGGAAGTAACATGCCCACAGAACCCATCAACATATTCTTTAGATCTCTTTTTTCATATGTTATTGGCACATTTGTCAGTTCTCTGTACTTGGTTACCTGTTGTTTTTGTTTTTGATTCTGTCTCCAGATGATTGTTCTTTATAGGCTAGCACAATCTACAGATCAGGTTGTACGACAAGTGTTCAAAATGTTCCATCAAATTTTTCCTCCGTACTCGTTTTCTTCAGTTCGTATCAGTTTCGTTCATCCCGAGTTAAGCGAAACAGCTCTCCATTGTTTGACAATTTTGTCATTGAGTATGCACGAAACATTCGCTAGTCTTTTTTATCACTCCGCTCAGACTTTGTCAAATTTGACCCGACACAGGCACACACTCCTGCATTACCCGAGGCGCTAGCAGCTAATGGTATAGATTGGTTGTGTGAACTTCTAAACTGTTTCTCGAAGGGCAATGAAATGCTTATTGCTTTCAATTTTCCCTTTCAATTCACCTATCCTAACTCGCTGAATATTCGTTGCCAGAAACTGGATCTCCGTGAAATGCCTCACTGGTTGTTGATAAATAAATCGGACGCTGAAAACGAATTGACCTGACCTACAACGAACGGTTAAATCTTCATAATCTATATTCATTATTTTTTGGCAAACTGATCGTTCCAGGCATTATCTTCACTATACGCTATGCTATTTTATGATTCTGACACTATGGATCCAGTTTCCTCTTGTCACACCCACATTTTAATATAACCATTTTTTCATTTAACCCTAATTTGTTCATTATGATGTGTAGGATATAGGTCAGATAGGGTTCACAGAACATTGTCTTGATTCTACCAACGTTACCGTGCCATTTGTTGAAGATATACTAACATCCGTCAATTAGCAAACTGGATTTTTAACTCCTGTTGTACTGAATCTATCATCCTTGTTTTCTTTGATTCCCCATCAGGATGGAAGTCTGGAACGTTTGGCTCGAGAAAGTCAGTTGTTGGAACAGAACTACGGGCACTATTTCGATTTGAGGATTGTCAACAACGACATTGAAGATACCATACAACAACTGAAGCGTGCGATGGATGCATTTCAAACCAACCCACAGTGGATTCCCGTAACATGGGTTTATTGAAGGAATCCTGCGTCTCTTTGTTTCTAACCTCTCACCTATGCCCATCCTTCTCCTCACCCCATACTTATTATAGTATTCTCTTTGATCTCTGTTTCTGGGTTCTGTTTATTCATTTGTTCACTCACTATTCAACACTAGTTATTCTCTAAACTGGTGATCGTTTACTCACCTCAGCAACGAGACAGGACGTATGCAGCTCTGTACAGTTTACTTTGCATAGATTTTGTTTTTTTTTTCTTGACATTCAGATATTCGTAAATGTCTTCTTACACCCTCCCCCCACACCCAATCCCCTCCGCATTTGTCCTTCTACTCCTCCCGCTCATGTGATTAGGCTCGATCAGAGAACTATCCCGATTTTGGGTTCTGTCGATTACAACTCATTCTCACCGAGTATTAGATGCTTATCTCGTTATTTGCAATTATCTAGTACAACAATGCATCACCGTTCTTTTTCCCTATTTCCATTGTCTTGTCCTTCTAGCTTCAAATCGATTGAACAATCATTGTGTTACCTGAATTTTCTCATTCTGATTCGCGAATTCGCTGAGCTTATCGTTTCCATGACTTCTAAGTTTCAACTGTTTGTTTCTGAGTGGGGCATTGACTTTATAAAATTTTTTTCTTTTATCATAAGTAACTATATTTCTCATTTTTGTTTCGTTTGTTTTTTTCACTATTTGTCTTTTATGCGATCGGGTGGTTGTCGAAATAAATTACGCTCTGTTTTCTTCTCCAATCGTGTGCTGCTCTCTCCGCAAACAAATCGCCCAGAATTATTTAGTACAATGATAACAATACCACTAATTTATTTGTAGAGGAACCAAACGGATTTGAAGCAGAACTTTTCTTAACTGTTTTATCCCTTCGAAAAAGTACGCCTTGGGATGCAACCGGCTAACTAGCCTTCCCGGAGTGTTATCATTTAAGAGGACTGTACAGTTCGCCATGCGATAAGCTTGAGTCACTCCTGCCTCAGGTGTGTTTGTTCCGATGTTGAACAATATTCACAATGCACCCGGAAGTAGAACGACAGTCGTGATTCAGTTCATGGACTCGACCATAGTCGAAGAAGACAAATGGTACGCGTTTCGAGGCTATCAGAGCTGAGATAAGGTGAAATGCTCTCCTAGGCCAGAGATCCAGTACTCGCGAGACAGCTGGAAAAATTCATCGATCACCATAGGGTGTTCGTAACATTTTATCCAATCTACTCGAACAGTGATTGCAGAATTCGACGAATGAATTGTGATTCGGACACGAGATAGCTCGTACGTGATGATTCTAATCAGTTAACAAGTGTGTCGAAATGACAGTTGAATATGCGTGCATCAATTGTTAAAAACTGCACCAAACTTGCAGTTCTGGAAGATGTAATCAGTACTATGGATCGTCATGGTGATGATCGAGTTGCGTTGGTTAGACGTTGCTTCAATTGCACTTTTGGTTGGAACAAAGCAATAATCGGTGACCAGGAAAAGTTAAAGCACGATAATGCCCCCCTCCCCCCATTCATGGAGCCCACCTCACAAGTGAATGTGGTTGCTGCACCAAAACATCAAGACCATGAGCTGGTTATTCCACAGCCCAGAATCAAACCCCAATAAAAAAAGTTTTGGTATCCATTTATGACGGAAAGTTACCCTCTACTTAATTCGTTAATTAAATAGTTTTTATTTGTAGGGGAAACGAATTTGAAGTTCAGTCAATTCGGAACGGGACTGGAAGTACGTCTAAGCGTTCGTTACGTGNTGTGTTCTATCGTGAGTAATAATAAAGATCGATTTGTTTTGTGTAATCAGTCAGTTGGATATATTTTATCGTTCTCATGGAATGTGGGTTGAATAGCATTGCACAAATCCAGGGGCACATTATCTAGGATAAATCGTTTTAGTTGACTCATTAAAATGCTTTGTTTCTCTATACGTCATTGAATAATCCTAGTACCTAATTGGATGGTTTGTTTGCGGGGAAATTGCGGTCAAAAAGTACGCGGTTCGAAGCATTCGGGACACTACATATAGGTTGGTTTTGGAAATCTGAAGATTTCACATATTTCAGTGTGTTAGCTTTCCCGAAGCGTCAAATCGATTCAACTGGCTACCACTCCTATTGAGCTTACGAAAACTCCGCGCTTTGTGATGATACTCATATTCGCATTAGGTGCAGCGATCCAAAGGACAGTGTATCCGGTTGGTTGGAGCCACTCAAGGAAATGGCAGCAAACTATCAGCAGTAGCACCCTTTCCGTCATTTCTAATCACGTCAGAATGTTTGAAAAAAGTATGTGTGTACGGTTAGATTGTGCACTCAGTGAGGTAACCATAGAGGTTTATTTTCTTTTCCCTTTGTCGAAATAGGCTCAATTCCGGGTCCGCTTCACATATCCTCACCAAATTTATAAGTATTCCGAGCTTGGCAGCGATCAGTAGAGTTTGACTCACTGCCTTTCTGTGTACAATTACGCTGATGTAGTATTTGTGTGGTACAGAATATTGCGTCTATTGTCTACATTTGTTTCTCCAGCTGTCTTATGAATTCACTTTTCAATTCCTTTACTGAATTACTCTGAGAAATCTCACATGCATTATTAATGCTGTAGCACGTGTTGTTGAACCGTGGCTTTAGCCTGACCAATATTCACGCTTGGGAGTAGTCATTCTCCTTGCCTATGCAGAACGACTTGTGTGTCGAAATCCGCCTCCGATTGACTTGGATCAATTGATTGATTCGTGGTTAATTAGCTGATCATTCGGATAAAAATCCATCAGTAGATGAATATCATTTCGATATTCATGTGACCATCAGTACCGTTCCCCCCCCCCTTGGGTGTGAAAATTGTGTTGGTGAACACTGTGATCCGAAAAATGTGTCACAGAAGCAGAGCTGAACCGACAGTAACTTATTTAGGGTCGTTGCAGTTCACACACCAGACTGTGTGCCAAACAAATCATGGTTTAATAATCTTTATAGAAAGATAAACCGTCCATGATTTGCATGTTGGCTGAATGCTGCCAGATTGCCCAGGCCAATTTTCTTGAAGAATCCACGA